CAGCCAAGCATTTGGTTTTGTTATATATTAAAAAAAAATAATTTTATTACTTAGTAGTCAGACAGTACAGCTTTATACTAAGTTACTTAAGATCCCCAAGTTTGACTATAAGGAAAATCGTCCACTTAAGTAAACACTGTGTTCTTGGGGCTGAGGGTGGAACCAGTGAGAGAGCACTTGCTTGCTGTGCACAAAGCTCAGGACTTAATCCCCAGCACTGGAAAAAGATTGTGTTCTTTTGTTCAGCATACAGCCAGGTTTCATTTCATGTAAGCATTGTATTCCTAGAAAGTTTGTGTAATAGTTTTCTTTTGAGTTTTTCTGTTCTTTGAGCCAGGAGCTAACTATGTTGTTCAGGTAGACCTTGAACTCACTATGTTGCTGGCCTCAGCTCATGGAAATCCTTCTACCTCACCCTCTTGAGTAGTGGCATCACAGGTACACACCTGACTGTCCCCAGAGTGAATGTCAGTTGAGCAAAGGGACTAGGGTGCTGCCTGCTCCTTAGTGTCTCAACCCTACATTTAATTGCCTCCTGTGCCTGGGGTCTTTGGTTGTGTACTTTTATGTACAAGAGCAGAAAGAAAGATAAGACACCTAGGAACAAATTAACCAACAGTTGCATCAAGGTGATCTAAATAAATGGGAAGACATACCATGTTTATGAATAAGAAAAAGGAAATATTAGGCTTTCAGTACCACCCAAAGTGGTCTACAAATTCAGTGTAATCTCTGTCAATATTGTGCTAGCTTTTTTTTCTTTTTGCAGAACACATCCCTGGGAAATTGCAAGGTATACCTCAGATAACCAAAACAGTCTTGAAAAATAAGAGCAAAATTGGAAGACCCATACTTTCTCATTTTAAAACCTAATTACAACCCTATGGTAGTCCAAACAGTATGGTACTGGTGTAAGGAAGACATACAGACTGGTCAGATAGAATTGGGAGTCCAAAAATAAGCCCAAACCCCTGTTGCTAGTTTAACTTTTGACAGACTGCCAGATCCACTATGTGGGGAAAGAACAACCTCCTCAAACATGTGCTGGAAGAACCAGATTTCCACGTGCAAAGAAGAATGGAATTGGACCCCTACACAAAGATGAACCCAGCATGAACCAGCCTGCTCCTTCCCAAGCATGGGGTTTCATCAGTATCAGAAAGGATAAAGTAAAAAATATTTTATTCTAAAAGAATAGAGTTCTTTGGGAAGAACACACTTCATGTGTATGAGTCATTCATCCTCCAGATACTTCTTAAACAACTGTGTCATGCCACTGTGCTTTGTGGGTACCGGGGATACAACAGTGGATGGGCCAGACTTATTCCCGCCTTTGATATAACTTAGAATCTGCAGGGAGAGGAAGTAAGAAGACAAGCGAATTCCAGTGTGATAAGCGAGAGAGTAGAAGTGCTCTTGGGTCTGAGAATAGAGGGGTGTGGCTTCCCTGAGGAGGGGGCACTGTGCTGAATGTGAAGAAGGGATAGGAGCAATGGGGTGAGGACAGATGGGGAGAGTGATTGGGCTTCTCAGAGCCGAGGGCGTTGGGGTCATCTTTGGATGACCGAGGCAGCAGTGAGGAGGCAGATGAGTGTCCAGTTATCTTTTGTTGCTGTCTCAAGCTCCTGTGTTGAGTGGCATTTTTCTGTCTGTTCCCTCCACCTCTCAGAAGCTCCATAACATTTTCTGCAGAAAAGGTGCTCAGTAAATGAGCCACCGGTGGTAGAAAGTGCCTGAAGGTTTCTGAGACGTTCAATCTGTGTTGCTATAATAAAATCCTAAAAAAAATGTGGGCTAGGAGGGTAGTTCTGATAGAGTGCTTACATAACATGGAAAGCCCTGGATCCAATCTCTAGCAAGAGGGGGAGAGAGAGAGACAGACAGAAGAGAGAGACAGACAGAATTTATTTTCATCTTTGACCTCTTATGTAGTGACACTATTAAGCAGCTACTTTCAGAACAAGTATAAGTGAATGCCTTCATCACAAATTATGCTCTAAAAATTTGCTCATGTTTTAATTTAAAATGAAAATTTCTTCTGTGTAATTTAAACCTGCATCTTGAATAGAAGTGCTGTGAATGGCTTATGTAATATCTGCCAAGGAATTAATACAGACTTTCTATAAACCACTGGCATTTGTAATCAGAATGCTTTAACTTGCACTGATGTTGGCTTTAACAAGTGCTGGTGGATTGGTGGCAAGGAACGAAATCACATTGAAACCGATGAGTTGCTCATTGATGCCTGAGGTTTTAAAATGCTTTCTGTGGGCCATTTAACTGCTGGCAGCTTCAATTCACATGATTCATAATCCTAGAAATGGAAATTCACTCTTAATTGAAAAGTGAAGTTACTTAAATTCTTTAAATACTAACCTTTGGAAAAAAAAATATCTGAGAAATAAAGGCCCATATGATTTTGGTGGCCCACTGCCAAAAGATTATCATTTACATAAATATCTCTTTTAGCAGAAGAGCTGCAAGCGCTGAGCTCAAAAGGTTAGCGCAGACTTCAAGCTGGAGAGCAGGAGGGAGTCGCGGGCTGCTCCTGAACGGCAGCATTGTGTGCCGCGCGGAGAACACTGTTCGCATTCAGCGCTGGCACGAAAACGCAGTCAATTTGTTTCATGTGACTTGTCAGCTGTGTGTTTTTATCTGAGTCTTTCTAGCCTCTCTCCTTTCTGTGTGCTGTGCGCGAGAGGCTCACTGAAATAGACGGGCTACCTCTTTTAACTCTTACCGTGTGGAAGTTTTGGCCACTTACGCACACAGTATAGCACAGTCATCCCGAGTTCTCCATTTCATTTTGAACATATCTCATCAGAAGTTTGAATTCCACTTTACTTTATTAGAAGTCATCTCATTCCCGAGAGCTCTTCTCATCAGGGCATGTGTGAGACTGTCTGAAAGGACTCCCAGAAACTCACCAAGTCCAAATTGCTATCTTTCTCTTCTCACCAGCACCCAGTTCTTTTCTTGCTTGCTAATTTTGTTCTCTGGATTTTCCCCCAGATGACTTTTAATATTTGGCTGCTAGCCAAGTATTGGGGCTGAGCGGAAAAGGGCAGGTCCCAAAGAAATCAAGACTGTTAGTGAGATCAGACTGAGAGTTCCATTTCTCTTGGGAGGGGCTTCTCCGAAACTCACTTAGTAGAACCTGGTATTTGGAAGTTGTCCAGGTGGGCTTTAAGCAACAATTTGCAGTATATACAGTAAGCCACCATGTTCAACGACACACTTTGCTAAGTTTGGTGTTCGTCCATGTCTGCCCAGACATCAGCATCCACTTCCAGCAGTTCCCATTTTGGCTTGGGAACCCTCTCCCTCCCTTCACCCCACCTCCCCACTTGCAGGGAGCTGTGACCTGCTGTTTGTAGATGCTTACCTTTTTAATTTTCGTGTAAAGACAACCTACCTGTAAGCTCAGCTCCTGAGAGGCTGAGGCAGGAGGATCAAAAGTTCAAGCCCAGCCCATCTTAGTGAGATCCCATCTCATAGTAATAAAGGGGTTGTAGCTCAGTGAGAAGGCCCTGTGTTGAACCCCAGTACTGCAGAACAAAAACAACTATGCACTCTCTTCACTAGATTTTTACTCAGCATAATTTCTAATGCAGCTTATCTGCATTCCTTCCTTTTTATTGCTGAATCTCAGTGTACCCTGTGGATATCGTGGCTTTTTTTTTTTTTTTTTTTTTATCATTCTACTGTTAGGCATTTGGGAGGTTCCTGGCTTTCTGTCACCCTCGGCTCCTGTTCCTTCTCTCCAGCACTCCTCAAGTGATGCCTAGATGCCTAGTGTCCCACACTGACCCATTGGCCTTGTTACCACGGACCAGCTCTGATGACAGAGCAGGGTCACACAGTTGTAGAATGGTCTTGATAGTATTTTTAATGAATAAATACTCTTATTCAGGAATCTCTGCCTGATACAAATTTGTTTGTTTGAAAACAGGTATGTAAGAAATTTCACACAAAAAAGACCAAGTGCTGTATTCCCAATTATTGTTTTCTCTCTCTCTCTCTCTCTCTCTCTCTCTCTCTCTCTCTCTCTGGTACTGGGGATCAAACTCAGCACCTTATACTTGTGAGACAGGCACTTATGCCACTGAGCTATCTCCCCAGCCCCTGTTTTCTTTTTTCCTCCCTCCCTCCTTCCTTCCCTTCCTTCTTCTTGTTTTTAGTGGGGATTTAACCCAGGACCTTCACATCTAGCTATAGTCACAACTCTTTTTCTGTTTTAAGTCATCTTTAATCTTGAGACAGGGTCTTGAGGCCAACTCTAATTTGTGATCTTGCTGCCTCAGCCTCCCACGGGGCTGGGCTTACAGCTGTGCAACACCATGCCTGGTTAAGATATTTTTTAAAAAAGAAAAGTCCTGAGTGGGGGGTGTAACCAGTGTTAGAGCTCTCACGGGGGTTTGTTCCCTAGCAATGCAAGAAAAAGAAGCCTGTCCTAATAGTTTTCTAGTTTTTTTTAGTATTAGTTCTTCAAGTTATTCTTTTTTGTTGAAGAATCATAGTATTCTATTTTAAAACTGTAGGGTACAGAGCCAAAGTCTCTCCTAGGAGTGTGATTTTAGGCACGTTTGTTTTCATTTTTATTTTTGAAATATATACCCTATAGATGGTCTCCCTGTATAGCCCAGGCTAGTCTTGAACTCAGCAACCCTCCTGCCTCAGTGTCCTCGGTGCTGAAGGCTGGTTAAGTAGGGGCTTAATCTTTCTGGGACCCACTGTCTTCCTTGGTTCAGTGATAACTTGCACCACCTGTTAGGTCATTTTCCTTCCTCTAGGCTGAGTCTACCCTGACCTCGCTGGCTATTACCATGGTAATTTTGTAACTCTGTCACTTACTTGGATTTCTTTTCTTTGCACATTTTTTTAAAACTGAGAGTGAGGTGTAAAATGTGTTGTTTGTATAAGTAACAAGTTTTAAGTTACGTGAAATTAGACTTTCTCAGGGAGACGAATGACCTTTTGCCTTTCTTTCTTATTTGAAGAATATCAAAGAATATTCCAACAACTAAAGATGTTGAGCCCCTGCTTGAAATTGACGGAGACATAAGAAACTTCGAAGTGTTTTTGTCTTCAAGGACCCCAGTTCTTGTGGCTCGAGATGTGAAAACCTTCCTGCCATGCACTGTCAACCTGGATCCCAAGCTTCGGGAGATTATTGCAGGTGGGTGTTAGTGGCACACTTGTTTTGATTCTCTAGAGTCTTCAGAAAGCTGCTGGTGCTCCATGTAAAGTCAAGATGTTTGACCTGAGAATCATAGGAAAATGAATAAAATATAGGCATTTAGGACTGTTAAAGAAATGTTAGCTGGTATGGTGTTGCACGCCTGTAATCCTTGCCCTCCGGGAGGCTGAGGCAGGAAGATCACAAGTTAGTATGGAAGAAAAGAATAAAACAAATTGATATGGACAAATTAGTTACCTAGGGAGACTTTGTCTCCAAAAGAGAAAGAAACAAGGGTTGAGATACAGCTCAGGAAAAATAAAAATAATAATAATAAAAAAGAGATACAGCTCAGGGGCACAAGTGCCTGCCTACCTGCCTGGCAAGTGCAGTGTCCTGAGTTCGATTACCGGTACCAAAAAAACCCAAAAACCCAAAACCAACCAACCAAACAAGAAATAAACAGAGTGAGAATGTAGCTTCATGCCAAGACCCTGGGTTTAAGGTCCATTGCCTCACCAAAAAAACCAGTTATGTGTTAAGGTCTCACCCCCACCTCCAAGGGCTTTGAAATTCTGGAATCTGATTGCTTTTAATATATGACCATGACTCTCAGATAACAATCCATTCCAACTTTTCTCTCACCACATCTTCTGGGTCTCTGTGCAGAGGAGTAAGGAAGTCTTTATGTATGTTTGGGTTTCTAACTTGATGTCTAGACTGAGACTAGAGGATAGTGACATTAAGGTTTTAGGGTATGTTAACTTCTTGAGCAAGCCTTGTGTGCAGGTGCACACCCACGTCAGTAATCTTACTTTTCTTTGATCAGAATCTAGTCCAGCCCAACCACAATGAGTACTTCTTCCTTGTTTGTTTGTTTGTTTGTTTGTTTGTTTTAGTGGAACCGGGGATTAGAACTCAGGCCCTTGCACTTGCCAGGGAAGCGCTTATTCCACTGAGCCATTTCCCCGGCCCAGTAATCTTACTTTTCTTATTGCTAAGACAAAATACCCAATACCTAAGTTAAAGAAGGAAAGGTTTATCTCAGTGTATAGAGGTTTTAGTCCATAGTCTGGAGGCTCCAAGGCAGGGTGGCATGGCAGAGGGCATCACTGAGGAGGAACAGTCCATGGCAGGGCTGGCAGGCAGTACCCCCGGTCCCTGATATTCTTTCTGGGCTGCTTCCTCTCAGGGCAGGCAGCATCTGTACCCAGGGTGGGCCTTCCCATTATCCACACCCAGAGTACACCAAACCACTCAGTGGACTAAGTTTGTAATCACACACTGTTGATAACCAGCACCATACATTGCATCCCAGCATCACCCACTCAGGATCCAGCCACCTCTGAAAAGTTCCACCTATGACTACATGATGCTTTGTGGGGATATCTAGACACAGCCACAACACCATCCTTCATCTAAATGCCATGTTTCTCACGATTCAGCTCTGTTGGCCCACCCTTAGGTTTTCTAGGAATTAGGCCAAGGTTGAGGGCCGCAGGTAGTTAGGTCCTGCCTGTGGGAATTGCCCCAAGCTGTTTCTCAGTGGAGAACATAGGAGCAGTGAGGGTTGCAAAGGGGCTGGGTCAGGCCCACTGGGGGTTAGATAGCGGAGCAAGTGCTCGCTTCCATTACACATCCTGGTGCCTGTAGTCACCACTGAAGGCCTGTGTAGCCCTGTACCCCCAGAAAGGGAACACCGTTCCCCATGTCTCTCCTGCAATTACTATGTGACACATACAAAAGATGGGCTCATGTGGGGGACTCAGGTCAATAATTTCTGACATTGCCAGTTAAACAGAAGACCCAATGCTATTATGGGCTACTGGACTCTTTTAGAATATTTTGCTGAGTTTACACACCTATAATATTCAATGACGGAACTTAGAAAAAATGGGGTATACAGATGAATGTCCATTTTGTATCTGTGTATTCAAAGTGGTTAGGATAGATATATAGTTGCATTCTCTTAATGAATAGAATGATTTGTTCTAATGGTGTTTGTAAAGAGGATCTCAAGTCCGCATCTTGTACAGCAATTAACCACTAAGAAGAACATATGCAGTGTGTTATTTGTTGAATCTGTACTTCCGATTTGATTTGAAACTGTCCATTGCTATCTGTTTATCAATAAAATTTAGAAAACAAAAAACCAAAAAAAAAAAAAATATCCACTACAATAATAGTAGGATAGTTTACTGAAATGTTAATTTGTCTACATTATCTCCTTTTTTTCCAGCCCTACCCCTCAACCAACACCAATTCCCTTTTCTTTTTCTTTTTTTTTTTTTTAAATTTTATTTTTATTTATTAGAGAGAGAGAGAGAGAGAGAGAGAGAGAGAGAGAGAGAGAGGTGTGTGTGTGTGTGGCCAGCTCAGCCCACCAGGGGGCAGGGCTGGCTGGCATGGGGTGCTGCGGGATTGAACCGCGGTCCCTGATGCCTTGCCAAGCTTGTTCTAAGTAGGTGCTTTAGACCACTGAGCCATCTCTCCAGCCCCACCAATTCCCTTTTCTTGAAATTTTGATGGGACATCTTCTCTGTAGATAATAAAGCCTTTCAATTTCTACCCTATTATTTTATTCCTGTAACTTTCTGTTAGAAGTAAAAGGATTTTATATCTTAAAAAAAAAAAAAAAAAAAAAGACGGGCTCAGAGCTCAGTGGTGGAGTACTTGCCCACCATGCCAAGACCCTGGGTTCCATCTATAGCACCTTGAAGGTTAAGTAAAAAGTCAGTGCCTGCATCCTCCCACAGGTGCCTGTGACAAAGTTGGTGTCCGAGGGTGTCTTCTGCCTGGGATTTGTTAGTTGGAGGTGGGCGAGTCTTCTAGTTTGAGCACCGATAGGGTTAGATTGCCTTGGATGAGTTGGTACTCAGCAACTTGGAGTTATCGTGGTTGGCAACACCTGATGAAACCTATGAATTGTTAGCGCATCCCAAATCTTTTATAAGTCAGAAAAACTAATAGGGCTGATTCTGACGAGAAGAACCCAGGTATTGTGTCTTCTCAAATGGTAACAGAAACTTCGGTGCACGACAGTTGAGCATCTTGTACTCCAAGTTCAGGGGCCCAGTCAGTACTTCCTGTCCACTGTAATCCATTGCACTCCCCTCAGAGAGGGTTAGAGCAGGAGCAGGAAGTGGACTGAACTAATCGAGCATCCCCATTTTCTCTGTCCTGGCTCTGATGGAATCTCACAGACGTCCGTGCTGCCAGAGAGCAGATCAACATAGGAGGACTCGCCTACCCCCCGCTGCCCCTGCATGAAGCTCCTCCTCGGGGGCCACCAGGGTACAGCCAGCCCCCCTCCGTCTGCTCCTCCTCCACATCCTTCAATGGGCCGTTTCCAGGCGGGGTGGTGTCCCCACAGCCCCACAGCAGCTATTACAGTGGCATGACGGGCCCTCAGCATCCCTTCTACAACAGGGTAAGCACCTGGGCCCACTGTGGGACCAAGTTTTCCTTCCAGGGAGATCACAGTCTTCTGATGTGGGTTCTAAACTTGGCTTTCAAATAGGTAAAGAGTAAGTTTAAGTATAAAATATGATTTTGGAAAAAGTCGAAAGTATTTTGAATTTTTGTATGCTCTTAAGTCTCAAAAAAGTCTGAAGGCCAGGCATGGCGGTGCACAACTGTAATTCCAGCACTGGGGAGGATGAGGCAGAAGAATCATTATAAGTTCAAGGCCATCCCAAACTGTGTAATGAAATTCTGTCTCAAAAAGGAAAAAAAAAACCAAAACCCAAAAAACACCTGAATATTAGAGATACATTTCATTTTTATTTTCTTGATAAGAAAGTGAACTCTACAAGGTCAGCTATGTCTATCTATTGCTTTAAAAGAATCTCTTTCTCTTTAGATATACCTGATAAAATAATTTATATTGACATTTATAATAATCAACTGAAATTCCTGTAGAAGCTCTTTATCCTTACGTGTAATGTAATTTTTTTACCTTTTAAATGTGAGAGAATAACAGAAAAATATTGCTTGTAAAACTCAGGTTATTGCTAACTAATACAGCCATGATCCGTTTTTAGTATTTCACATTATCCACAGTTATATATAGTTGTTTACTTAATACAAATGCACAGTCTTCTGGATGAAAACACAGTGATCCAAAGGCTTAGACTTTAGTGGGTTTAGTTGGCCCGAGCCGTCTGTTCTCACTTTCTTGAGCTTACTGATTTTCCTGTGAGGAAGGCTGTGAGCCGCAGCCTGCCATTTCCTAGGCCTGCGCTCTGAGATCAGTTGCAGTTTCTGGTTTTCATTGTCTTCCTCTGTAGTCTGATTCAAGAAGGCATCAGTGCTAGTACTCATGGAGGCCAGTAACGAGTTGCGTATCTAAATAAATTTCATAGAGCTGGGAAGAAAGAAAAGTTTACAATCAGTGTGGCTACAAAGGGACTCCAAAATTTAAATTTTCAGTTTTTGGGAAATATTGTCCATGTTAGTAGTCAGGGATAAAGTTCATAGAGGCCCTGGGATGTTATTCCTTGCAAATACAGATGGAGCAGTGGTGTTTCATAATGCATTTCTATCTTTATAAAGTTGAACTATAGGGTAGGCAGTATGAAATGCAGATTTTTACTTGCTGGTCTTAAAAAAAAAATCTTCTGTGATTTTGCATAAAATAGCTCAATTACTGCCAGTTGATGTTTTGAGACCGAGAAGTTTAGGCTGATTGAGAACTCATGTTCACTAATTTGAAGCTTAACAAAAATGTGGCCTGGGTTGGTGGTGTGTACCTATAATCCCAGCCACTTAGGAGGCTGAGGGAGGAGCCTTGCAAGTTTGAGCCCAGCCTAGGCAACTTAATAAGAGTCTATCTAAAAATAAAAAGGCTGGGATGTCGCGGTGTGAAAGCTGGGTTTAATGGAATTTCATTAATTTTAAAACATTTCAGATGTCCTCATTTTTAAATCTACTGAGTTTTCTATTGTTTTTGCTTTAGTTAATTGAGCTTTTGGGTCTTAAAAGGAGACTAGTTCTCTTAAACTGTCAGGAGTAAAGACAGCGAGGGAAGGTATACCTCAGCTCAGTGGAACACAGTGAGTTTACATCTGTGTGTGTGACCCAGGTCACCTGAGGGTGACAGTGCATTACAAGTCTAATGTACTCAGGTGACAGTACATTACAAGTCTCTATGTACTGTTCAAAAATAGGATTTCTAGGGCCCAGAATGTAGCTCAGTGGCACAGCTGCTTGCCAAGCATGAGGCTGTAAGTTTGATTTCCAGTTTTAAAAAAAAGGATTTCATCTGTGGAGTACAGAGCATGCCAGGTGTCAGGATCTAGGGAAGGCCCAGGGACAAGGACAAGAAGGGGCCCTGTCCCTAGAATCCATGCTGGAGTTATTATATGATCCTGACCTTTTTAGAGTGTTTTTAGGTAAATCTTTTTTTAATGGGAAAAATATTCTAATAAACCTTCCTTCCAGTAAGATTCCAATCTATTTTTTTAAAAGATATTATGAGACAATGTGTATGGATTACTTAGAACCTAACATAGGAAAAACGTATAAACTTCTTAAAAATGTGAGGATATGTTTGTGTCAAACTGTAAGGTGTAAAACTTGTTATTTTAAAAGCTTATGTTAAATAGAGAATATAAAAATGTACATAGTATGTCTTAAATTTGAGTTGACATCTAATATGAGGGAGACATTTTATTCTTTTGTTTTGTCATTTGCATTAATACTTTTTGAGTGTTTTTGATTGGTTAGTTTCATTTGCTAAATCTCATGACATTTTGATTTCTGTGATTGTTCATTTTTTGTTACGTGTTTTTCCATAGCCATTCTTTGCCCCATACCTTTACACGCCAAGGTATTACCCTGGCAGCTCCCAACATCTCATCTCACGTCCATCTGTAAAAACAAGTTTGCCTCTCAGAGAGCAGAGCAATGGCCTAGTAAGTATATCAAGGGGAACCGGAATGGTGGTCTCGTGAACACAGACGGCATTGGAATGGGGCGATAGCCTTTCCGCAGTGGAAAGGTGCACCTGATTTTATAAATAGTGTTAAGAAACTTGAGTTATTACTAACATAAAATACATTTCATCCTATTTACTGGTGAACATCTGGGGAGGGAAAATGACCAGCAGTCTCAGGACTAAATGTTGAAATTTTACAATGAGATTTCTGGCTTGTAATACAGTGCTTGATTACAAAAATTTAAAGACTAATCTAATTTCTAATATATTTTAAAGGAAATGTATGTATACATATAAAAAATAGAGGGTGTAATGAAAGAGAACTATTTCTGTTTAGTGGTACAAATTAAACAGGTTAAGGGGAAATCACTCAAATGAAGCAAGAACAATACATCTGTGCCTAATATATTAGTAGGGGTTCCTGATGACAAACTTAGTTCAAGGACAATGAGAAACAAACTCTGTTAATGGAATCTTAATGGAATTTTACAATGTGGTGAAGGCACATGGGTCCCGTGGATGCTTGGGGTGCTGTGCTCTCATGAGGTCTGTTCTTTGGCTTCGTGGTCAGCTCACTGCGCCTCTCCCACTCTCCTGTCCCACGCTAGGAGGTTATCAAGGAGGACGCTGCCGAGGGGCTTCCCTCCCCCACGGACTCCTCAAGGGTAATGGAGCAGGCTTGTGCGTGGCCGCTGGCACACGTGGCTTCTGCGGTTCACTAACCGTGCACCTGCCGTGTGACTGAATGGGCGGCAAGTGTAGAGTAGCCCATTACTAATCCTTAGCGCTGTGAATTAATTCAGAAGCCAGTGCTTAACTTTGCCCTTTCCTTCTTCCTGCTTTTCCCCTTCTTCAGTGATGCGGGATGGGTCTCCATTCTCCAGCAGGGAAGGGATGTTTACAGCAGCCATCTGGATTGCCCAGCTTTACATGTCCTCTAGGGGCGAGCTTTGTTTTTACCTTCGACTGTTTTGATGAGGCCTGTACTTGCCACTGCACAGTAGAGAGTCACCTGTGACACTACAAGATGTGAGCTAGATGTTATGTGCTTTTATCTGCATATTAAAATTTTCAGATAGAACAAATACAACTTTAGAGTGGAACCATGTTTCACTAATGCTTTTTTTTTTTTAAACACAGGATCTCACTATGTTAGCTCAGGCTGACCTTGAACTAACTGTGTAGTCCAGGCTGACCATGAACTCATGGTGATCCTCGTGCCCCAGCCTCCTGAGTGCTGGCACTACACATGTATGCTACCACACTTGACTTCACTAATGCTTTTGATGTAAACAATTTTGTTTGCAAACAGAAGCTTTGACCAAATTTTGCTTTTGTTCATAAACTCTGCTTTAGGTGACAAATGTGACTGTAGCCATCTTTCTTGCACAAACATAAAGGTGGCCATTTTTTCCAAAATTGTAGAACAATCTAAGTTTGGGAACCAAGGTACTGCTGTATTCCTTAAAACCTTAAGTTAGATTTAAAAAAAAAAAAAGAAAGAAAGAAAAAGAAAACCTCATAGAGAAAGTCACTTGGTAATGATTATCTAAGACTATGTACTTAGTAAGAAATATTTGTGTTGAGCCTTAAAATCTTTCAGGAGCCAGCGGTGTAGCTCACTGGCTCAGCACTTGCCTAGCATGTGCAAGATCCTGAGTTCTGTCCCCAGCCCTGCAGAAACACAAAGAACCAAATTCTGTTTGGGCACATATGGAATCTCTGTGGGACTCCTCCATTCTGCACAGGAGTGACTTTCAGTTGAGTCCAAATTCCCGCTTGTGCCGCCATCCTTGAGGCCATGATTTCTCAGCTGCTTTGTGATGGAAATCAGATCATGCACAGAATGTGATAGGTTTGGTAAGACCGACCTGCCACACCAGTAGCTATTCCTGTGCTCCAGATTGTTGGCAAACACTTGAAAAAGAACGTGTAGTTTTCTTCCAGAGACTATTGGGAAAGGCCTGTTTTGCAATGAGTTTTTGGAGAAGGGGAAATAACACGGTTCCTGAAACATGTTTAGGAGCCCAGTAACCATGCATCAAGGTCCTTTGCCTGTTTTAGTGCCTTTGTTTAGTAAAATAACCATAGCATTTGTGGTTCTTTTAATAATAAAAGATAGTCTTGTAATTACTGTAGTGCATAATAGATGTTCACCCAGTTTCCTTTGCTTTTAAAAACTTACTAATGGCATAGCATGTAAGATGTGTTTTGTAGAAGAGTAGTCCAAGTAGATGCACAGTTCAATGTTGAATTGAAAGCAGTGGTGGAAATGTAAAGAACTTATACATGTGACCATTGCTGGGTGCTCTAGCAGGACTCACAGTTGACTACCTGACACTTGGCCACCGACCCCCTGCACACACTCTGTATGAGAAAGAAATAAGATAGGTCAGGAGCTGAACAAACATTTTTGAACTGTCATTACAGATAGAGACTAATGTGAGAGAATTAACCAACTGTTTTATATATATATATATATTTTGTTTTTTGTTTTTTTTTGTTTTGTTTTTTTGTTTTTGAAGTAATACATGGGCTCATCTTTTTACTACAGGAGTTTCTGGTCAATCTTTAAAAGACAGATCCTTAGGGAAATAGTTAGGTTTTCTTTCATTTAACATTATAGGGACTCTAGCTTGTCAAGTCTAGCCAAGGATTTATTAGGTAGATTATAAAAACATCCTCGTGTTTCACATAAAGGCAAGGCATTATAAAATATAAGTGTCCGTGTTAGACTTTTTCCTAAAATTTATCACTGAGGGTGAGTAAATGCCCATTCTTACAAAAAAAAAAAAAAAAGGAAAAATAAAGTGAGGCCCACAGTATGCTGGGCCAGTGTTTCTCATTTCTAGGCAGAGCATTGTTCTTCAGGAGTGAGATCTAAAGCTGAACTCCTGTTCACAAAACCAGGGGCACAGGCCTGGGGCCACATTGCTGCCCCTTCCTTCCTCAGGCTCCTGGGGACAGAGTTAAAATTTAGCTAACCTTAGGCACACAGAGACCATCAGTGGCACAGTGGCAGTGAGAAATGTAAGCAAGCATAGAGATGCAGTGTAAAATCCTAACTGCATAGCATTAGCCAGGGGAATGACTGTCCTGCTGTAGTCTTGTGGCCACCTCCCATGGCCATCATGGGGAGCTCAGATGTGTAAGAACCCACTTAAAACACCTAGTGAACCAGGTGTGGTGGTATATGCCTGTAATCCACAACTCTAGGAGGCTGAGACAAAAGAATTGTAAGTTGGAGCTCATCTGGGTAACTTAGACACTTAGCAAGACATTGTCTCAAAAAAATAAATAAGTAAATATATACAATACAGGGCAATTTAGTGTACTACAGTGCAACAAAAGGCTGGGGACATAGCTCTGAGAACACCCGGGTGCAATCCCGTGTCACAGACACCAACAACTGAGCTGCTGTGCCTTGCTGCTGAGCTCAGCATGAGAAGTTTATCCCTCCATTGATGCACACTGCTGGCTTAGTCAGAGTTTTCAAAAGTGCATGTCTTGCTTTCTACAAAGTAAGATCGAGTTCACAGAGTGACCAAGTAAAAAGTGCTCACTTTTGGGAATATTGATTTCCACCACTGGTTTACAACTTATAAGCTGTGTTCAACTAAGTGTGTGCCCAACCAGGCTGCCTCCTGTGTTCAGGCGAAGATCCAGACAAGCGAGTTATGGATGCCGTGGGTAAGAGCTGGGACCCGTGGAGTTGAGGCTCACTGTGAGGACCACAGTAGCTTCACCAGCCCTATAGCACACACCCTTTGAACAGTATTTTAGTTGTGCTTTCATTGCTCTGTTGGCATTTGGAAAAGTGCTCACTTATTTTCCCCTTTCAATAAAGCATAGTGAAAAACTATATTTACTTCCTGGGTGCAGGTCTTCATACCAGACTCCAACAAGGGATCATTTTCCCTTAAACAATTAATGAATTTCAGCCAAAGTGATTAGGATATATTCACAAAGGGCCAGCCAAATAGCTCAGCGCATTAAAGTGCCTGCAAGCGGGCACAGGGGCCAGGGGTTTGATCCCCCAGGCCTGCCGTGCCGGCTCCACCCTTAGGCAATTGAGACTGGGTGTGGTGGCGCGGGCCTGTAATCTCAGCTCTTGGGAGGCTGTAAACAGGTGGATCACCAAGAGTCTGATCTAGCAGTGAGACCCTGAACACCCTGTAGACCCTTTCCTAAAATATATTTAAAAAAAAGAGTATGTTCACAGAACTGAAATTATAGTAATCTTATCAGTGGAAGTCAAGAGTATCGTTAAAAGTTACAAAAGGAAAAAGGATCACATTGCAGTTGCTTAGTACTTGTTTTTTATTTTAGTACTTGTTTTTTTTTTTTTTTTTTTGTTAGATTGCCCTTAAAAATACGTTGGGCCGGGGAGATAGCTCAGTGGCATAAGCATCTGCCTGGCAAGCGCAGAGTCCCAAGTTCAATGCCTGGTACCAATGAAAGAAAATAATGATGTTAAGGGCTGGGGAGATAGCTCAGTGGTACAGTGCCTGGCTGGCAAACTCAAGCTCCTGAGTTAAGTTTCTGGCACACACACACAGTCACACACACACACACACACATATAGTCTAGGAAATGGGGTTCCCATAACATGTTCCACATACTGTTCTGTTAAAAGATGCATAGCAAGACCTCCTTTCTGAAGTGGCATGTAAATTATCTCTGCTACACTGTCATTAGTCACGTTTATGCTATTTTATGTATTTTAGGAATATTTGCCAGGCATGGAAAGTGCCTATAATGCACTGCTTGGGAGGCTGAAGCAGAAAGATCGTAAGTTCAAGTCAAGCTGAACTTCATAGTGAGGTCTTGTAAAAGAAAGAAAAGAAAAGAAAGAAAGAAAAGAAAAAGAAAATTTGCTACCAATTTTTTGTTTATTTTTTATGTATTTTAGTACAGGGTCTACAGGGTCTCACTACATAGGTCCAATTTGTGGTGATCCTCCTGTCTTCAGCCTCCCAAGCGCTGGGATTATAGGCAAGCGTCACCACACCCAGTCACAATCACCATCTCAATGTGCCCTGAGGGTGGGGCCAACACACTGTTTTGTACTAAGGATTGAACTCAGGACCTTGTGCTTGCCAGGCAATGCCACCAATTTAATAACAGTAGCAGCAGTGGTTGTTTGAATTAGAGCTTTGAAAAATCTGTGTCACTACAATACATATGTTCATCATAGGCTGTAGGTTTCTTTTTCTCTGTTGCAGTTACAATTTCTTAGACTGAGAGGCTCTCAGGGCCTTGCTTTTGAAATGCCTTATTGGGCTGGGGAGATGGCTCAGTGGAATAAGTGCTTCCCTGGCAAGCGCAAGGGCCTGAGTTCAATCCCCAGTTCCACCAAAAAAGAAAGAAAAGAAAAAAAGTGAAATACCTTGTGAGATATCTGTTACTGTCCACATACCCAATGAAACAAACCCCAAGCTGAAAGTGTATTTGCCAGTGAAAACTACATGTGGCTAGGTATTTCATTTTATGATCAATAAGCCTTATTATTAAATGGTTTAAAATTTAGGAGGAGCATTGAATGATACAGCTTCTGTAATAAAGAAAATAAGAATTTTGAGAGCACACTTTTAAAATCACTGAGCTCATGTTAATGAAATTAACATGTGTGTACGTGTGTGTGTGCATGCATGTGCCTGGATGCATGTGCCTGTGTGTGAGCCTCTGTGTGTGTGCATGAATGCAGAAGATTGGCTTGTTCAGAATTAAAGGAATGATGGGTCTGACGGGAGTACAGGATCCTTGTCTTTTTGATGTTTTCCTCACTCTGTTCTGTTCCTTCCTCAAAGCTGTGTGACCCTGGGTTTAACAAACAGAGACAGGTACAGACACTCTCTGCTGGTTGCGTGCTGGCCTGCTTAGAAGCAATCGTTCGCTACCTCATGCTGGGCTGTTTATAAATCTCTGCTTATTTTGGGGCTTTGAGTTTCTTGTATAGCTGCTTTCAGTCTTTCCATGGCGCTCATCTCTGGCTAATCAACTTAAAGCTTGCTTCATAAATTTACCAGATAATGTTTCAGAGTATAGTTTTAGTCTACTTACGTTGTAAAGTGAAACACTTCCCTCATGGTAATTTTAGTGTCTTGATAGTTTTACCTTTACCTGGAGAAGTTCTGATTTGTGTACATTTTAAAGTTTATACTAGCTGCATTCAGTTTTCTGTATTAGAAATTTTTTTTTTTTTTTTTTTAATTTTTTTTGTGGGTCCAGGTAGATGTCTCAGTGGAATAAGCGCTTCCTTGGCAAGCTCAAGGGCATGAGTTCATTCTCTGGTTCCGCAAAAAAAAAAAAAGATAAATTCTGATTTATCAAATCAAAATGTTGAAATCATTGCTCTCAGAACAGGTAAATTTCAAGTAAGAACGCATGATATTATAATTTGAACTATTCTGTGTATTCTCCAAGTACTCTTATTAAGTTTCTACTAAGAATTTGTCTGCTGCTAAGTATGGTGGTACATGCCTATAATCCCAGCACTTGGGAGGCTGAGGCAAGAGGATTATTGTGACATTGTGAGTTGAGGCCAGCCTGGGCTACTAAGTGAGCTCAAGGCCTGCCTCGACTCATAGTGAGATCTTATCTCAAAAAGAAAAAAAAAAAAGAGAGAATTTATCTGCTGAAGTTGGATGTGGTGACATATACCTGTAATCCCAGCACTTGGGAGGCTGATGTAGGAGGATCACTGTGAGCTCAAGGCCACCCTGGGCTACACACTGAGACTCTGTCTCAAAACTAAAAAAAAAAAAAAGGGATTTATCTGCTGAATTGTTGAAAATGCTTTTTATTTCCTTAGAACTATAGTATTCTTTCTCCTTCCTTTCCTGAGATTTCTATCTAAAAAATTATTTGGGAGGTTATAAGATTTATTTGGTTTCAAAATAGTTTTACTATGTAAGATTATTGTGACCATGATCTGGCAGGGAATTAGTGTTTCCCCTTTATTCAAAGAAACATTTAATTTTTTTTCATTAACTGAGAATTTAACCCTTGATAAAGTCCAACTTACACTCAAGGGTAAGATTGTAATTTTGTTAGAATTTGATGTCTGTGTGCATCTATATAGTTATTCAGATATAATAAGTAAATGTTCTATATACTCCAGAATATGGAAAAAGTTAGTTGTTTATGATTTTTGAATCAAAGCCAATATATAAATGCAGGTGTATCCAGGGTGAGGAGATGGGTTGGGGGAGAAGAGCATGTGAAAGCAGTGGAGATCACTAGAAAGATAAATACTGTCCAGCAGTCGAGGAAACAAAGTGCCGGTGGATAACCTTGGGGATACCACACTGAGGAAGAAAGCAGACAAGGAAGGTCCCCAGTCACACGAGGTGTGCGTGTGAAGCACTCAGATCCAGAGAGCAAGACCATAGTTGCAGAGCTGTGGGAGAGAAGGACAGGGTTTGGAGGTGAAGGTGTTCTAAAATTGATGCGCACACTGTGTGAATGAACTTTAAAATTACTGAATTTCATGGTTTAATATAGCATGTGAATTATATCTCAATAAAGCTATTTAAAAAGAAAAAGATAATACAAATATAGTATTAAAAATTCATAGAAAGCATTTCCGAAGTAGAGAATGGATAATTAATACTCTGAATATTGCCTGTGTTCGTACAGGCAGGAAACAGAACAGTGTAGTGATATGAAAACTAAATCATAGAAAGACGAGTGCTTCACTCTTTATGCTCTAAAAGCAATTCAACCCTGGGCCATATATGTCACATATTAAATTTATATTTAATTAAAAACAGTATATACAAAAAAAACCCTATAAATATGTGTGCTTTATGCAACATACTCCAGGTCATTAATCTCCATACTTACATGGGCCTGTATCCTACTTGCTCAGGCTCCCTGACACTCACAGAATTACTATTCTGACTGTTCACTGTACTGTCATTCCTTAGCTATATTTATACTGACATGTAATATCTAATATATAAATATGCACACTATATTTGTGCAGTTAGCAGTAGCAATAGTATTACATCCAATTGTCACATTACAGATAATGTTTAAATAATAGTACATTTTTGACTAGTCAGTAGTCTGTTTTTGTCCCCAAAGTGACAAAGGAGTAGAAAATACATTATAAATTCACATGCTCTTGAGGATGTAATAGATGTTATGTATCATCTAACAATTAGAACAAAGGTAACTAGCATAGACTGGAACATCATTATCTTTGTTGGTTCGTCCTCTCCTTTGTGGTTTTAGTTTCTGTAATCTCCTTGGAAATAGTTGGAGCAAATTAAATAGGAAATTAAACTGCATGATCAGCGAGGGTTCTGGTCCTAATGGACCCCTGACTTGGAAGCTCTCTCACAGCCTCTCAGGCCACTTAGAGGGCAATGCAGGGGCCACAGGGATGTGGCTCATGAGTGTCACCACATCGGAGACAGGACTAGACTCGCCCTCAAAACTTCTTTCTTTTCCCTTATTAAGGAGTTATGCTGTGAACACCTGAGAGCCACCCCAGCCTGCCTCATGCAATATTCTGTCTTAGAGGCTATGACCAGCAGCCCTGCCTGGTGCTCATTAAGGGGTAACCAGAACTGAATGTGTTCCCTGGTGGCAGTTCTTGTTTATACTGTGTTTCAGTAGTGTCACTGAATGCATTTTTCTCTTGCTTCACCCCTATGTATCTGGTGTTAATTGCTGGTATATTTGTGTCTTCCCCTCAACTTAGCAGGGATCAGGCCCGGCCACTGGACCAGTGCTGTCCCTGAACTCAATGAATGTGGACGCCGTGTGTGAGAAGCTGAAGCAGATCGAGGGGCTGGACCAGAGCTTGCTCCCTCAGTACTGTGCCACCATCCGAAAGGTGATGCGCGTGCCGCTGCCTCGGTGGGCCTACTCTGTCTAAGTGCCTTAGGGGGTCTCTGTTAGAACAGCGGAGCCTGTGTGAAAACATGGCCCCGCTGTTCTGCAGCCTAGCATTGTCCTCTGTCTCTTGGCTGGGGAATGGGTAATCAGTAAAGCAGCTACACTTCATGTCACATTTGTTTGAGGCGTCCAAAGAGAAACACAGGCTTTCACACTGAGTTGAGCAGCTCATCTTCCCAGTGAGAGCAGAGATCGCTCAAAGGCTTTTTCTTACGTGGCCTGTTTTTTTAATAGTACAGGTTGAGGACCCCTACTATAAAAGTCTAAAATCCACAGAGCTCCAAAATCTGAAATTTCTGACCTGGAGAACCAGTATAAATTTTAGACTTCCGATTTCAGATGGGGTGCTCAGCCTCTAAAGTCTGTGCAGATGTTCCAAAGCCAGGAAAACCCTGGAATTTGAGGCACTGTGGGGCCAGTCATTTAGGGGAAGATACTCAACCTCTAATGTATATTTTCAGGATTTCGTGATTGTCAAAGTAAGCCACGTTTGCTTTATTTCCCATAATCTCTCATTTTCACAGCAGACAGAACTTAACCGGTCATACTTGAAACCATATCAGCATGGGTTTGCAAAGTGGATACCTGTGTGGAAGGCTCTTCTTTCAAGAGCTTGTGCTTGGTTCTAACAGTTAACCCAGTGGTCCAGGGCTGGCAGGGAGAGTGTCCCCTAGGCATAGTTAACCGAGTCTATTTATAGTAGGTTTCCCCAACCAGCCACACTTTTATTTATTTGAAAAAAATGTTTTAAAAGCATCTTTATTTACTTATTTGGTATAGGGTCTCCCTACAAAGCTTAGACTCATAGTAATCCTCCTGTCTCAGCCTCCCCAGTGCTGGGATTATAGGTGTGCACCACCACACCCAGTTTTGGTGGCCAGCATGGCGCACCCAGGAACCTGGAGCCAGCACAGAATGCGGTACCAGATCAAAGCCAGGTCCTTGTGCTTGCCAGGCAGGCGCTTAGGCTGCCGAGCTATCTCCCCAGCCCTACACTTTTATATCAGGGTATTTAAGTAGAGCATCAGCAGTGAGCCTCTGATATTGAGGTACTTTCGAGAATGGCATTGAAGAGAATAGTTTCAAATGATCGCCAGCATGCGTGCACAGCACTCTGCTATTCTCCTCACTTTGGGTCAGAAGGTTTTGGCAGCTCCCTCTTTCTTTCTGATCCTCTCTCCAGAATGTGATGAAACCTGAACATCCTACTGATTTTAAGTGCAGGTGTTCCAAAATTCTACTAGAGTTAATAAAGTCAGGTTTTATAGTTCATAAAATCATTGAGATACCTATTATCAACAAAGAAGACACCGTTGTTTCTTATTTGAGGGAAACTGGCAGTAAAAAGACTCAAAAGTGAGAGACCACATGTGTGAGAGTGTGAGTGTACTGCGTGTGGGGAGTGGAAGGTGGGCCTGGCTTCTGTGCAGCCCCCACTGTAACCCATCAGCCAGCCTGTCAGGCACACTTTATTTAGATTTTACTTGAACATCATCAGCAACACCCTCAGGACAGCTGTCTTTCTCCCTTCCCAGCAGTCTGGATAATCTTTGTCTTTTCCGAGATTAGAAAAGAAAAACTAACAGTTTGCTTGCCGCCCATGGCAGGGTGGGCAGCGGGCAACGGCTGGGAGGGTTAGTTGGTGGCTGGATCCTTGAGAAGTGATTTCACTTGAATGTTCCACACTTGAAAAGGTGAAAAAGAGCTTTAGTTCTTTCTTTCTTTATTTTTTGGCAGTACTGGGGATTGAACTCGGGACCTTGCACTTGCCAGGCAGGCTCTGATACCACTGAGCTGTCTTCCTGACCTCTGTCTATTTATTTATTGTGAGGAGCTTTAGTTCAAAAATTTTATTTATTTGTGTGTGTGTGTGTGTGTGGCCAGCTCAGCCCACCAGGGGGCAGGGCTGGCTGGCATGTGGTGCTGGGGGATTGAACCGCAGTCCCTGTGCTTTGCTAAGCTTGTTCTAAGTAGGTGCTTTAGACCACTGAGCCATCTCACCAGCCCCGAGGAGCTTTAGTTCAAATTCAGATCACTTGGTGATCTTTTGGGGGTCAACTGTTCTAGTCTTTAGTGACTTCCTTAAAAGTAAATACAGGGGGCCGTGGAGACGGCTCAGTAGAATAAGCGCTTCCCTGATAAGTGCAAGGGCCTGAGTTCAATCCCCGGTTCCACCAAAAATAAAAAAGTAAATATAAGTGGGCCTGCAGAGATAGCTCAGTGGTCTAAGCACCTGCCTAGCAAGCACAGGGACTTAGGTTCGATCTGTGGTGCTGTATGCCATGCCAGCCCTGGAACCTTGGGCACACTGTGCCAGCCCTAGAACCAGGGGTGGTGGCACACACTTATAATCCCAGCTCTAGGGAGGCTGAGACAGGAAGATCACTGTGTCCGAACTGTGTAGCGAGACCCCATACCAAATAGATAAATAAGATTTTTAAAAAAGTAAATATAACTATACTTTTTAATCACTAGTAATTCAAAAAAATTTATATTTTATGGTCTTTATAGTTGTTGGTTTTTTTCCTCAGGCAAACATAAATGGCCGGGTGTTAGCTCAGTGTAACATTGATGAACTGAAGAAAGAGATGGGTATGAATTTTGGAGACTGGCACCTTTTCAAAAGCACAGTAAGATATTTATAACATTTTATTACAAGCTATAAAATTATTTCTGATACTATATACAACCAATACCAAGCGTTCTGGCCTAAACTGGTAATTTGCCATATTTAGAGTAGAATTGACTAAACGTGGTACAGGCCTGTGACGTGGAGGAGCTCTGCTCCTTGGGGCATTTCCATGTGGAAGTCTGAGGACTGGTCTCACTGCTCCTCTGAGCTTCCACCTGCCAGGGTCCCCCAGCTGGGAATGTAGCAGCCCTCTGGCCCCAACCTGCAGCACCTGCCCTTGCCTTCAGGCTGCCGCAGTCTGGTCAGATTCCTCGCCGTCTTGCCTCAGCTGCGCCAAGCGCCTGCCAGGTGTGTTACCCAGATTCCCCTGCTGTGACCCCGCCACTGTCCTGGCTGAAACTCCCTCTAGTCCTGCTCTCTTTAGAGCTGAGCCATCTCTGGACTGGGCTTTCTTTGCCTGGATTGAAATCTGCTCTTCCTAGTTCTGCGGCACATTTCATTTCCTTCTCAGGTTTTAACCTGATGTAACAATGTAAGGTACAAGCCAGAGTGTAGCGCTGTATAGAAATGATTTCTGCCATTATGTTATTGATTAAAGATAAGGAGATCATTCCTCAGAAACTCCTGACAAGGAGTACACGTTCATAATATTTTCAAAACCTATTTCTTTATA